TTTAAAGGAACCTAGAACTGCTGTATGCTTATAGCCCCCCAAAGCCCTTATTAACTGCTCATTTGGAACACCAACAGAGAATACAGCAAGGCTAGATCTGCCCTGTTCCTTGTAACTACTCGAAAATTTGGTTGCCATACTGACTTGTATGAGAAAAATGCAACACTAATTTTAAAGTCAATTAATCTTTTGAATTAAGAGTTTAGTTCAAAGTTGCTAAACAACAATGTATTGCTAAAAAACTCCACTATTTTCTCAATGCTACTTACACCAGCAGAAAAAGTATATTTGACACTTACTGGTAGAAGAGGCACTACATTTACTGTCAAAAAGCTCAGAGAACTGCCACGTGCACAGGCTTAGCTGCTTTGAAACATGCTGGCATGAGGAAGTAGAGGAATGAGAAAGGAAAAGCCTATGAAGGAAGCTGGCCATAAACACCTTAAAATACTTTCTTCACTGCATACTTGGTTTACTACAACCTTACCCGAGTGTTCCAGTGCTCTGCTGACAAGCAGTCCTGACCTGTGCATGGAAGTGTTCTTTGAACTGCAGGCAAGCCTCAGGTGTGTACCACTGAAAATAGGAGAGAACAGCCACTGGGATAAACTGTGCGATGTCTACTTTTCAAGAAGTCAAATCAGCAAGGATAAAATAGATAAGAAGATTATTTCAAAGAGTTTCTCAAGCACAAAGATACCATGGCATAAGAAAAGGGAGAGCTTGGGTTAGAAGGCAGTAAGACTTCCCCACAGTTATGTTTGTAAAGACTCCTTGGGGCAGCATCATCATTTGACCACTTTTTGGAGTGTCAGCATCCAAGCACTAGCTAAACTTCCACAGCCAAATACTTTTCCTCATCACTCTGTACAACAGCAAGTACTTTAAATTATCTCAGTAATCTAAGATACACAAGACAAACATAGATGGGAGCATACTACCAATAAGTCATTATTACTGTGAAGCCTTTTAGATCTCTAATGTGCGTGAAGCACTGTTTTTATTACTAGTTTTTAATTAGGAGTTCGTTAAAAAATAGGAAAACAGTACATTTGCTTAAAGTAACTGTTGTAGTTTTCATAAAATTAGGAGCAAAATATGTTGCTGAAGTCAAGCACGGAAAAAAATGCCAAGTCCCTTAAAAAGATCCTTTGAACAACTGAAAAAATGGAATGGCAATTCCTTGCCCTTCCTCATCCTTAACTTTTCTATTAGACTTCAAGTACAAAACTCTCTGGGGACATGAATTATCTTTTCTATCTGTTTCTACAGTGCCTACTACATTTGATCTACTGCATGACTGTACAAAGAGAAAATGAAAATTGCCTCAAATTCTTCAACCAAAACCTCCATATAGATCTAATGAGACCTTTTGCATATTTAATACCAGTTATGGTTCCTATTTCCCTGCAGTGTAGGAACTCTTTAAGCACATAATTATTCATGTTTGGATATCATAAGATAATACTTTGTGGCTAGAGTCACTTTCTGTAAAGGTTGAGAGAAGAAATCAGGATTATTATTAAAGATATCAGCATTGAACACAAACATTAAGTCACATTCGGCTTTGAAAGAAATCCTTAAACAATTTGTAATTTTAGCAGAAGACAAAAAATGTACATTAAATTAAAATACTATTAGCACAAGGGAAAGATAGTTCAATGTGGCAGGTGTTACATACTGTGACGACAGGGATAAAGAATGCTTACCTTGGGAAACTTGGAGATTGTTCTGTCCCTACTCACCGGGGAAACCAAATGCATCAGATTGGACTTCATCTTCCAAATTCAATTAAGTTCTACCAGACAGGAAATATGTAAAGAGAAACACAGCATTCAGGAATTGCCTCAAACAGGGAAAATACAGTTTAAAAATCAATCAAACAAACAAAAATCACCCAGCTGTTACAGACTGATTTTTTTTTCTTTCAGTTCAACTGGCAGTTCTTTTACTTTATTTGTATTAAAGAAAACCAATTTTTTATACAAAATGGACCACTTCAGTGTGTATAGCTTTAGTAGCAAACAGTAGCTTTCTGAATCTACAAGGCACCAACTCTAATTCTGTGGGAGGGCAGAGAATTATTCACATAATTCAACGTAAGTGCTGGCAGTTTAGCCCTCTAATGATTTTGCACTGTTTAATTTAAAAATCCTGCTTATGATTGTTTGAAATACCACGAAGGACATTAATAAATGTTAGGGGATATCAGATTTCATTTGGTCAGAACAAGATAGGAGCAAAGATGAAGCTGTCACATTTATTGGCACAACATCAAACTTTCATCCAAGATCAGCTCAGAAAGAATGAAATCAGTACATAGTCTGACGTGGAAAAAGAATAATGTTCACATGAAAATCACAAATGCATTTAGATATCCCACCTGAGACATACCAATTTGGTTATGCAACGAAAACTCGTGGGTTGTTGGGGGAGGGGACCCTTAATCGGGTACCAATTTGTTACTGGTATTCAAAAGAATGTTTCTAACAAGAACATTCATCATGTAGCAAAGTGTAAGGAAGGACTCACCGTGCAGCAGCTGATGCAGCAGGGTCCCAGCCACACGAGCAGCTCAGCCTGCTGCTGCGTGGCCATAGCAACGGGCTTGCAACAGTTCCCTTCCTCCGCTTCTCTTACGGACTGGGAAGGCGGAGTTGGAGTAATTTAACTATACATACGGCCCTGGTTTTAAAAGAACAAACTGGTTTTAGTGGCCATCCTTTGATCAGAAACTGCTCTTGAATAAACCAAATGATCCCTTAATCCTGTATAAGAAAATAGTTCTGTTTTCTTCAAAGATAGTTGTATATATAGATACAAGGAAGAGGATTAACACAACAGACAAGAAATTATTGGAGTGGGGATCTGTTACAGTGCTAATATTAAGCATAGTAGCAATTATGAAGAAATTCCTGAGGGATTTTTTCAGAATCTCAACTTGATTTCATCTCAGCTTTAGAGTCAGGATGTGTATGACGCTCTGAATTATATAAATATCTTTCTAGTCATTAGTAATCTTGCTTTCTAATGCACTAAACACAAGGAGTAAGAAATCACAGAGTTCTTTTGTATTGCCTAAGTATCGTTTAATCAACTGACTAGCTTAGACCGCAGTTAGTATGCTAGACTGTAATTTAGGATGCTAAAAGATTTTGCTATTTATTTCATTAGGATTTCAATTTCCAAATTTCAGGACAAAAGACACCTCTCACATTCTAATAGTCATCTTTTGATAATGCTTGGACCTCTTAAAATCCAGGAGACAAGCCTCTCCCATTCCTGCAGCAGACTAAAAGCGTTAAAGGGCAAATCGATGAAAGTTTAATCTAAATCAACACACACATAAAAGTATCCCAATTTACCAAATCAACAAATTACCCACATCATTGGAGGTAAAAGATCAATGATTTAACAAATACAAAGATGCTAAAAATACTAAGAACGATTGGTACTGAGATTCAGATTTTTGCCTCTTACAGAGTTGAAGGACATTCAGTCACCAGGGAGGGCTGGGAACACAGCGTCTCCATGGCATCACAACGCTCCACAGCTCCTGCCAGCTACACCACCGCCTTTTGCGCCCTCATGCTCGGGTTATGTTATGTTACGCTATATGTTATGTTATGCTGTATGTTATCTTATGCTGTGCTATGCTATATGTTATGTTGTTATGTTTTTTAGCAAAAAAAAGATGCCCAAGTCTTGAATACAGTTATGTCAAATAATGACAACGGAAAACCCTGCTATGCATTCTAGTTGTTTGTAGTGACATCCTGGAGAAGATTAGAAAAGAAAACCTAGTCCAAAGCTACGGAGCTCCCTTCAACACTTGTACCTCAAGGCACTCACCTGCTCTATCTCTGTCATTAACTCGACCACCATTTTGCTCAATCCGATTTTTTTTTCAATTTTGTTCAACTGAAACTACTTTAAAAAGAGAGAGTGAGGAGAGAACCTCCTTCCGTGCTTTAGCAGTGAAACGAAGTAAAACGACCTCCACATTGCAACACCATGGCGGCGCTTCCTCCATTTCCTGACACACTCCCATCCCTGAGGGGTCAGGCTCACCCGCCCGCGGCCCCCCACAGCGCCGTTCCCGCCCTAGCAGCAGCCCCGGCTTCCAATTCACCAACTACGCCGTTGACGCTACTGCTTCACAGCAACCACGGTCTAACGCGATATTTACGCTGTTGACGCAGCCCCGGAATCAGTATACTCGGCTGCGTGTTTTTTATTCACGGAGCGGCGCGTACGCAAAGCGCTGGTTGCTGCGGCAACCCGAGCATGAGGGCGCGAAAGGCGGTGGTGTAGCTGGCGGGAGCTGTGGAGCGGTAACCGGCTGAGGTGGTGACATGGTAGTGGGACAGGAGCCTTTGATTATTTAGTGATTGTATTTATTTTGTTTTGAAGAGAGAAATGCGGTTGTTTAGCAGTTGTTTTAATTTTGCAGCTGGTTTTTTTGGTGAGCAATTTTCAACAATGAAGGTTGTATGCTTCTAACGGCTGTGCCGTTTTCCTCGCTGAGGGAGGGGGGAGGTCAACCATCACTGATCCTTTAAAACGACAAGGAATTCTGAGGGCGGGTTTAAACTAGACCCCTTTTAAAAGAATGCTTTTTTGAAAAATGGTGTTTCGTTTGCTTTAATATTATTTTGAGCCCATACTCTGGTTCAGGACATTGGACTACTTCAGTTCTTTGAAAAACATTACCTCCCTCACCTTGCAATTTTAATTTTTCTGTCTCTTTTTTAAATAGTGTTCAGTAGAATATTAGACAATCCACCTAATGAACTGATATCAATGCTGATGACGATGAACCATTCCAGCCTCTTCTGTCATAGCTTTCTAACAATGAATGTGTGCTAAAGTAACCTCCGGGACACAGAACACTGTTTAACGTTAGTACTTGTCTTTTTGGTACGTTATCCAGTCACTAGGTGTAGTGACTTTGGAGTATTTTTAGGGATAAAGGAGGATTTGTCCCAGAGAAATTCGAGATGGCACATGCTCGTATCTCAGCCAGCCTCCCGCCTGATATAGACCCCACAAAAGCTCCTCTTGCATTTGGAAGGAGAGCCCTTCCTAAACTCAATGAGGAGCTACAGTCTCCTGAGCTGCTGACTCAGCAACGGGCATTGATGGCGCTCTGTGATCTGGTCCATGACCCAGAAAATGTGTACCAGGCAATAGAAATAGGTAAGTGATCAGTTGTCATAAGCTCTGACACAGGAAGGGGAAAAACCACTTTTGTGCACTGCTATATTCCTTGCAGTATCTTTGATTTTTTGGTTTTAATCTCTACTTGTTTTACCTTAAAAAAGGTAACAAATATTATAATGTTGTATACCTGACAGTTATTTTAAGAGTATCATCACTTTATGATCATCACTATAGGTTTTAGCTACACCTAAATACAAAAGTAGGACAGATTTTTTTTCCCCTTTTGTTCTGAATTTTAGCTAATTCCTAATTTAGGCTAATTTTTAAAAAAAGTTATCCTAGGGCAGGAAAAAAGGCAAATCCCTTTCTTTTTTTTGCCCTTCATTAAACATTTTATACCACATATGACAGTGGTCCTTACCCGGACTTCTTTATCCTTGGTGTGCTCAAAATCTTTGTATCTCAGATCCCATAATAATAGCAGGCAAAAAACTCTAGTGATCCTTTTAATAACTATTAATTAATAAAATAATAAGTTTTACAAGTTCATTTATAAATTCTGTGAAGTCATCTTTTGCCATTGGTTTCTTCAGCAGTGAGTAGCATGACATAGCCAGGTGTAACTTCACTGGAGAGACAAAACATAAGAGCTTTTTATGCAGAACTCCTTCTTAGAAGTATGTTAGTGGTTTTATAATGAGTGTAATACAAAAAATGCTGGAATTCAATGAGAAATTAAGATATAAGACAATATAACAAAATTTATTATATCTGTCCACCACTATTTTCAAAAGTTTTATCCCAGCACTTGGAAGAATCCTATATTTGGATTTTGGGAAGAAAAAAACCCAATACCACACAAGCTGATCTTCACAATTTTTAGCAGTCTGTTGTGTGTCTAGCTCATTATGTAACACTGCCAAAGTCCTCTGGTTTGCCACTGCTTTTTTCTCCATTCTTTTCCTTCATATTTTTTCCTCATAAGAGAAATAATCATGTTCAAAATTTATTAAATTACTTGAATAAAAGTAACTGCTGAAGCAATGCAAGATTGTTGTTTGTTTGGAGTTGTGGTTTTTTTTGTCAGTGCTATGTGTGTATACACATAATCATTGATGATTCACCAAATTTGTTTCTACATGTGAAAAGCAACGCTGTGTGTTTTTACATAGCCCACGCTACACCTAAAGAAAATGTAAAAAAGTAGGCGTCAACCCTGCAAACACATGCTTTTCTAAAAACATCAATAGATGCACTGACTTGAGTTATTTTTAGAGTTATGTCGCTTCATAAATATTTGCAAGCGTAGAATTGAACTTGATACAGAAGTCAGCAGCTTGTTTGTAGCGTGGCATTTTTAGCAGTAGGCCTTGAAATTAGAGAGATTCTTCCCTACTTGAGATATGACAATTAGAGTTTCACCACCAGGGTGAAACTCACCCTGCTCAAGGTGAAAATTCTGATTGCTTATGCTTCAAAATAGGAGATAAATTTAGTATTGCAATTTAAAATTTACGGTGAAGAGGAGAAATGTTAAAATGAACTATTGTCTTGTAGGATTCTTGGATAACCTAAAGACTTTGCTGCTACACCATGACAGTACTCTCCGACAAAAAGCCATAGAAATCCTCTATGTAATGGCTATGCATAGTGTTGGCAGGTAGGTGTAATTCCAGACTTTATGTATGGAAAGCAATAAAGACAGTTCAGTGAGAAATAAGGACAGAATGTCTAAGTTTTAGCAAAATAGGTGCAATGCAAATAAGAGTATTTACTTAAGATTAAGCATCTCACAAATATGAGTTTTAGTATGCTTAGTTAAATCTGTCCTCCAATGTCATTTGTAGGAAGCGGTTGATAGAAAATGGACTGATTTCTGCCCTCGCTAAGCTCTTGAATGATCCAGAAGATATCTGTCGGAAGAACACACATCAGACTATTGAAATGATGGCAAGATTACCTGAAGGTAGGGATTTTTTTCAGTAGGTGTGTATTCACATAGGCAAAGTAGACAGGTGAATTTACCCGATTCTTGATCTAGTATCTTCCAGATTTATTTTATTCTATTTTCCTTGAAAAATCATATTTAAACCCAGTATCGTTTATATCTTCGCTCAACTTAATTTTTGTTAGTTTTTATATGAGAATTTATTCTTTGGGTTCTATCAGAAAACATTAAAAGGTATGACTGTCATGTTTTTTTATTGGTGGAGACAACTATGTTTTCTAGAGCTGTTGTTACACTTATAAAAATTTGCAAGCTGTGTAATAATAGTGAGAGTACTTAGCCAAAGTATAGAAAATGCTCTACGTAGATAACAAGTGAAATGTCCCATGTTAATATAATACATCTATAAATAGTCCTGTCTGTGCACGAGGACGGGGAGCTGATCCTGCTAGATCTGTTGATTTTCTTAGGTCTTATGCTAGTTAAGGCTACCTGCTCAAGATAGAGGTTGTATAGACTGGATTTGTATTTCAGAATCATGCATCAAAACCTCATTTTGTCCTCTTTGGTTCGAAGCAATGATCAGCTGTTCATCATGGTGCACTAATTTCACAGCACAGTTTGTAGAAGGTTTTTCTGGTGTTAGGAGGTACAAATCTTGTTAAATTTGTTCTATGCCTTCCCTGCTCCTTACAAGCACTTGTGTAGGAGAAGACAAATGAGCAAGTAAAGGCACCATCCATTGCACTGTTTTCCATAGATTATCTTTTAATGTGTCTTTGACCTCAGGCTCATAGGCACTGTTTCTTAAATGTATGCTTTGACATGGCTTTCAGGTGGTGAATTTGAAAAAAAATCAACCAACCAAAACCAAACCAAACCAGAAACCCCAAACCAACCTGAGCCTTTTCTGATATCTTATTCCAATATAGTTTGCCCTTAGGTAGAGTTGTTAAATAGATTCAGTAATATATGAAGTTAAAAATGTGATAAATTACACCTAAGTTCAGATGTCAAATGGAGCTAGTCATCCTACAGTCCCTGTATAGCAGGAGCAAAATCAGTGTCTCTAGGGGCAAAAAGTCTGACATATCATAGGTTCTTAGTTTAGAATGAGATGAATTCTGCTCTGGTAGTGTCCATTTATCTCCAGTGAGATAAACAGAACAGGGTTGATTACATCAGTCAGGGATATAGCTTTTAAATGCTTCAGTCTAAATAGAGGAATCCAAACTGAGAATTTTTCTTTGGCTTGCTGGAAGACTATCTCCTTGTACCTTTTATATGCTTGCTTTATTTTGTATATTTATAGTTTTCAAAATATTTTGTATACTAAGGGAATTTATGCTGATTTGTTACTCTTATTTCCAGACAGTTTTCAATAGTTTTCTAATCTGAACATTAGGCTTGAACTTTACGCTTCTGGTTTATGAAAATTATAACTTTAAAATATATTTGGGTAAATAGAAATTATGAATTAAAAAGCTATACTATTTAAATTCATGGGAAAGTATCGTGTCTGAGGACTTCTGTTATATTACTGGTGCTTAAAAAAAGAATTAAATTAATGCTTAAAGCCTTGTTGAATGAGTGTACATGAATTCTAAAAATATAAAGATGTATTTTTACATGCATGGAACCCTTTTTAAAGCCCTAAATAAGTGAAGCCGTATGAAGGACGGTTATATGATGGGCTAAACAACATTGTGAAGATCACTATAGAAAACGAAATTTTCTGTTAATTTAATTTCACTAGCCATTTTACAGACTTTCAAATCAAATGAGACAGGGACTTAGCTTAAGTCAATTTTGACCTGTCTGACTGCCTTTAAAGAATTCTTTCCCTTACTTGTGTAGACAGATACCATCCTGTGAATATATGGATCATAATAGAAACTTGTGAAAGAAAAAAACAGAAGTAAATAAATGTTGCCAGATTTTTGCAGATCACCATTAATCATTAACCATTCATCCATACTGGCTAAGGCCTTCTTCATAGCCCTTTTTGAACTGCATAATTCAGTAATGGGCCTTGCTGTGCAGTCCCTGCTGTACTGAACTTCATTATTTGGCTCTATTTCTAGTAGGCTAATGCAGGCGCTTACCACTTGTCTCCTTTTCTTGATGGAGTTTTCAGACGTGTGCTTGATGTACAACTTGAGTTAACTGGAAAGGTTTCAGTTTGAACAGGAAAACTGCCTCAGGGTTTGGTGGCTGCTGTACATATAATTTTAGATATGAATTTGAGACTTACAGATGTAAACAACTAATGTTACCTGTGTAAACACCTGTCTGCTTTTAGGTTCTATCTCCCAAAACTCAAAGAATTTACCAAGCAGGTTGGAAGTGTAGCTGTGTAAGCAGAAAACATTCTCTGGAGTATAAATAGAAGTTCTAGGGGGAAAGAAGCAATTTTTTAAAAAAGTTATCCATGTGGCCCTGAGATGAAGCGAGGGCTTCCCACCCCCACCCCCCCTCGCCCCAATATTTGAAGTTAGACACTTTCTAAAAAGCAGGAACTAAAACCAAGGGTTATATAGAAAGCATTTTATTTGAACTGTCATTTCTATTTAGAGACTTACTGTAGCAGTAAGCAACGCCAGCTCTCGGTGGTGCCAAAATGTAAAATGTTGCTTATTAAGAATTCCATATAAACCAAAATACAGTGCCCAAACCAGAAGATATGTAATGGTAGGCACCATACTGCCACTCAGGTTTACTCCCATTGTTCCATCTTTGTCTCTGCAGGCATCTGAATATATCATTTTAGGTCAGGAGTCACTGATGGGAACTGTCACAACTATAAAACCAGTTTGGTGATAATCAGGAAATGCAAGATTATACTAGACAAGGAGAAATCAAGTTGCTTCCTGAAGTGGAAGGATTATCCAAACCCTGCTGAACTGAGAACTCAGCAAAAGCAGAGAGCCAGCTGCAGCAGTGTCCCTGCTCTAAACCTTGCCTTTGATGGGAAATGATTCGCAGCAGCTCTGAAGTGAGCTGGTTCAAAGACCAGCTTTGAAATCACGTTACAGTCCCAACTTAGTGAAAGTTGCTTATATTTACAAGAAAGGCTACAATCCTCTGAGTGGTAGTTGCTTTTCAGTGAGCCTTCTCTTGAGCTAAGGCTAATACCAGTTTCTTCATTTCACCTCTCCCACTTCAGGTATTGGTGGCAGATAAGAATCAGGTCTTCCAAATCAGATTAACCTAAAGACTTGTTCTGGGGAATGGTTTTGTCTCTAAAAATGCAGAAACGGGTAATTAGTAGTATGAAAAGGCATTTAAATGTAAAATCAGTTATTTGGTAAACTCAGTGCATCGGTGCCTTCAGTGCAATTTCCTGGTTCATTATTCCTCATTCAATTTTTTTGGTTCATTAATTCTCACCGTTTAGTGTAATCCTAATATATTTGCAGTGATCATGTTCTGTGTGCATGTAGGCCAACTTTTATCCTATATTTTTGCCCCTCACATCTATTTATAAGAAATTAAAAATGAAAGTAAAGGAACCATTTACATCTGTGCAGCAAGCAGAATTTAGTCTTTATCTTCTGATCCTATATTCAGATCTCTCAGAGAACATGATATGTCTAGCAGTCTTTTAATAGCTTGCTTGAGTCATACCTTTCTAGTTAAAATTCTCTTCCAAAGCTTAATTTCTTCCACTATGAAATGATGCCAAATTTTGACCATTTCCTCTGTCAATGCTTGTGCTATTAAAAGCCTCCCAAGACTTGTTCAGGATAGAAGTCCTTGACTAGATTAAGTAGTCTTGCAAAGCTTTCTACAGACCAGATTTTCATACAATGACAGTTTTGTTTTGTGGTGTTTTTTTGTTTTGTTGGGTTTGGGTATTTTTTGTTTGGTTGTGTGTTTTGGTTTGGTTTGGGTGTTTTTTTATTTGAGGAGGAGGGAAGCGTGGTGGGGGAGAGGGGAGGCAGGACAGAAAGAACCTGCAATCCTCAGCCTGTCAGGTATGCACAATCTGTAAGATCGGTGGTATAGCAGCTGAGCTAGTATATTATCTGAAGCATCTCTGAGTAATTAACCTTGGAAAAGGATGTTTTTTCTGAACCATGTATTATTTTTATTTAAATAAAAATATATATATAAAAATATAAATGTCTATATTTAAGGGTTGGAAGATGAACTCCTTAAGCAAAATAGCATTGCTGTAGAATGAACTCATGTACAGATGGCTACCAGAAAGGTGCTACTACTGTTTTGGTTTTGGTGATTTTTGTTGTTGTTGTTTGGGGTTTTTTTTGTTGGTGGTGTTTTTTTTTTTGCTTTTTTTTTTTGCTATGAGACAATTGAGGGAATTATCAAGGAGAACAGCAAATATTTTCCAGTAGGTAGTAAGAGTCACAATGCCTGACATAATTCATTTGACGTATTACAGATACAGAAGTAGTTACTGCCTGGTAATTCAGCTTTCTTCAGCTAGCCAAAAAACTGTCTTCCTCTCTGCATTTATTTCTACACCTCACATCCAGATAATGAGATGGATGTACCTTGTATCAGCTGGCAGCTAATACACCATTCCACAGCTAGATACCTGATGTTTTCTAGAGCTGAGGTAATTTACAGGGCAAATAAAGCTGTATGTTCCACGCTAGACAAAAAAACAGAGTGTAAGCTGTTTGTACGTTTGGCATGAAGTGTAGTTGTTTTTGTTAACTGGGAAGTGGCCAGTGACTTGAGTTAGCTCTATGCCAGGCCACCTGGTCTCCAAACAGAAGGAAATTTAGGAAAATGTGGTTATTTTAAGCAAATGCACTTGCAGACAATTACTGATTCCTAAATTTAAGGATGTATACCAGTATCCTCCAGGAACAGAGGGGTCATCAAAAACCAAAAGATGGGAAAATTCACAAAGTCTGGGAGAACACTGAGGAGCAGCATTTCCAGGAGAAACAACAACTTAGTGTCAAGAATCAATGGACAGAAGAATTAATGAAAGACAAAAATAAGATTGGTATATGTATCTGATAGAAGAATAAGAAGAACCAGCAACAGGAGAAAATTAAGAACATTGGAAAAACTAATAGCAAAACTTCCATTCTTTGTGAAGACAATTAGTTGACACAATACTTAATGTTAATGGAAGGGTATTACGCAGTGATAAATGACCTGGGCAGTACCAACTGTAAAAATAGTTCCAGGAAAGAAAAAGTCTTTCACTAGAATATGGTTAATACTGGAAAAGTTTAATAATTCTTACCCATTATCTATCCTGTCTTTTATGGGTACTTAATCCTTTTAGACAAAGATTGAGGTGGATTGAATGGGGCCCAGAACCTCTATTTGGGAAGAGTCCAAGAGATAATATTTCTTCTAACTTACTGACCCCCAATGTCTCCACTATTTCAACCTTGGAAAATCACACTCTGATCTGTGGATACGGACTGTTTAAAGATGTCTTTTTTCCCTTTGAAACTTGTTTTGCTGTACGGAGTACAAATGATAAAAGGGCAGATGGCATTCTTATTGCAGCAGATGGAACATCTCTTCTGTGAATGTCATTGTTGCCCAGGTGAAGTGAAATTCCAGCTGTATTAATGCAGTTCTTTCAGGTGGTAATGCAGTGCCTCACTGATAAACCTGAGGACTGAGAAAATAGATGCAAATTTAATTGCATGATTTATCCAGGTGTATGACAGAGTCCAGGGATTTAATTTCAGCACCTGTCTTTGCCCCAGACATTTTAGTTTTAGCTTCCCTGTACCTCAGTTTTCTTATACAATCAGAAAATAGAATTACTTTACTTCTGTGTAAAACAGATTTTATTTTTTTATCTGGGTTTCTTCAGAGAGAAAACAGAGTAACCATGAATTACTCAGAACAGTAAGATCAAAAACATCCCAGGAATTAAATGATTAGAGAGTAAATAGCAAGGAATTGCTACTCAGAGAACATGATTATGTGAATGGATCATTTAAACTTAATTATTTACTGCATTATTCCTCCCTATGCCTGTGCTTTTCTTAAGCTAAGTAGGAATACATGGCAGTGCTTCAGTTTCTTTTCTCATTCCCAAGATAGTCTTCATTCAATGAGAAATGTAACCGATTCCTTTTCTTTAGAAATAGTTAGGCCTTTCTTAAAATATTCTGTGTTCTCTATGTCTGTTGTAGGTTGCCTGTACTACTTATTTTGGAAGGACATTCTTAGTTGAATAAAGATTTATTGTTTTAATATAAAATGTCTTTTACCCTCCTCATAGTTGGCTACACTTTTGTTTTTAGTTTTCCTGCACAGCTTTCTTACCTCAAAGCTATGCTATAATGAATGCCAGTGTTTTCTTACCACTTACTTCCCTAGTCTGAAATGGCCACAGTTCCGTGAAGGCTAGAGGTGAAAGAGACATACCATCTAATAGTCTATCCATTGGAAAAGGAAACCCTGACTAATTTAATACCTTTTTCACAATTCAACTGGCTAATAAAAAGGATATTACACTACAGAAAGCAATTTAGACTAGAAATAACTGTGGAATTTCTAAAGTAAATGATAACATTTAAATGGTAAACAAAGTTTAGAGGATACTGTACTAGCTCTATGGGATGTTCTAGCAATTACCATCCAAAGCTTTTAGTAAACTCACCAAGTCAAGCAGCTTAACTGCAAATATCACAGGCAGGCAATAACATCTACTCATCACAGGTAAGACCCAAATACTCCCTGTGTGCTGTAACAAACCTCTTATACCTTCAAGGCGCAGCCTCATTGGCTTTTTTGCCTCTATCCCTCATGTGTAACACCTGACAGGACATCCTTAAAGGGGCCCTGTGCATGGATAAAATGCCTGATTCAAAGTTAGATAGATTTTTCTCTATTATTGGTCGTATCTGGACTGAAGAGTTTTGCAAGGCTTAACCTGTGACTTGAGCCTCAGAATATTTTTTGTTATGGATGCAGTCTCTAGCAAGGTCGAAAATTATGATTGCTTGAAGTACTCCCTTCATGAATATTGTAGTTCTCTTGGCAGTCCCAGCTCATCATTGGATTAAGTCTCCAGGTCACTTAGAAAAATCCTAGATTAAATTTAAGTATCTTGAAGCAGATCAAAAGAAGGAATCTTAAACATAAGGTAAGAAAGGTTAGGACTTTTTGATGCATTTTGTAGAAATGTTGAGATTCAAACAAAGGAATGAAACTATCCAAGCACTATCAAATATTTTCAGCTGGTCTCAGAAATGATTAATGGGGTGAATGGTTCTAAGTCAAATTCTGTGTAAACTTCAGGGATATTAATTTATCTAGTGTCCTCTAACAAGTGATTTTTATGAATTTATGCTGTTTGTGTAAGAGTTGCACCTTTTCTTAATGTACATCCAGACTTTTAAAGATTTCAGTCAGAGGATGTTCTGGAAGAACCTTGTTATGGTCTGAATGGATGCAATTTTCAAGAAAGCTTCAGTGAAAAACTAGCAATAAGATATATGCTGATAGATCACCTTATATGGTCACTTAAAAAAATATAAATATTTTTCCTAAATCCTCTTTTTTTCACAAGCATGAGCCAGAGAATTTTGTATTGATTTTGGAGAATTGCTGAAAGCTCCGAAATTCAAAAATGTGAGCATATTTTTCACGGTTTTTTTTCAATCTTTAAATACAGGTTTAGGAGATCAACTTCAGGCACTAATAAAAAAATCATATATGGGATTATACCTAGACATGTACATCCAAGCATAGACATCCGTGCAAAGTACTTGCTTATGTAAGACAATATGCATTTAGGCTTCTTGTATATTTTGAAGATACCATAGAAGTTTCTTTCCTGATATTTCCAATAGCTCTTGATCTATAACTTCATTCCTAACATTGCTACTAACCATCTCCCCAAAAAAGATAATAACGTGTTTAGAATTTGTAATGATGTTAAATGGGAGCACATCGCTTAAATCTTACTGAGTTGCTCAAATGTAATTGTTGAAGATTGAAATTGCTGAATGTTGGTGAGTAAACTGAGGAAAAAGACATGGAGAAAAGAAACAAAATTCAGCAGTCTGTCATAAAGGAACAAAAACTTTACAAACTTTATCCAGTTAAGTAACTGTCATAAGATTAATTAATGAACACACTACAGACATGTTCAGTATCATTTGAATTATTTATTTTTTAAGTGGACAATTTAAATGTTGATGTTATTAACCATTTTGTTTTAAATTTCTTAGAGCCCTTGGCTGAGATTTCTTGCACTAATCATAGTACATATGGGGAACAAAAGTAGAAGGTTATTTTCCAGTGTGCATGTGTGTCTGTGTCTCTGTGTACGTATGTGCTTTACAATTATCAAACATATATTTACACACCAACTTTACACTGAAGTCTTTAAGAAGTCTTTTCTATGGCAGGGGAAAGAATCAACTGACCAAAGACTTAGGTCTATATGATCCATTTGAGATTTTCCAGTATAGTCCCACAGAGCTTCTTATGCATTCAAACTTTTGCCGGAATGTTACTCCATCCGGTAGTGTTTCTTTATGAGATGAAACCTGGAGCTGAGGAATGCATCTCTTCAGTTTCCTTAACTTCACTAAACTGTAAATAATTTAAATTATTAAATTGAAATATCAAGACATTTAGTTATTGTTCATATCGCTCATCTTTAACCTTCTAATAATACATCACATTTTTTAAATAATTAAAAAAAACAACAAAAAATAGTTTGGAGGCTATATAGTACACAATCTCCATGGCTCCTGCTTCTTGGGGAATCTGTTACAATAATACAATTCCCAGAATGTGTTTGGAGCAGTGGAACAGAATTGTCTGTTGGCAACTTTCACATTCAGCAATCCAGACACTACAACAATAATTTAAAAAATTGCCTTGTGATTTATTTTTTTTATCTGTATTAAAAAAAGGAACACTAACCTACTTCTTAAATATAGTTTGTTTTTTTGTGAAACACCACGAGATTTGGCAAAAAAAGATGTAAAAGAAGACTGTTTCGATGTATAAAACTCCTTACCAGTAGAAGAAACACTGACCTTAATTTGGCCTATTCATAGATTCATTTCATGTAGTTTTGCTGCATATTTGAAGCCTTAAAGAGGAGAAAGAGCTGCTAGTCAGTTTGGAAATCACAGAACAGTTGCGCACCAACAATTCCTTTAACAGGCAAGGTGTCCATGAGTAAAGTAAAGCAGAAGTGTGTACATAGTATATGCTGTGAGTCATGTGCATACATGATGTATGTGTATATACTGTTTGGCTGTGTGTACCAATACTGTGGGTGCATGCCCATTCTCTACAATTTTAAGTAGTATTTTGCTTAAACTCTCCTGTTCTGTAGCTTCTGGTTTGAACTAGCTTTTTTCCCCAACACAACCATTCTGATTCACATCCTGCAAACGAGTTCATCTGTCACTCACCAGCTTTGTATCTTCACGTCAGTAAAACTTTGGGACAACTGGATGAAGAATTATTTCTTACACAGAACATGGTAACACTCCCACTGTAGGAAATGGAATGAAACAAATGGAATAAAAGTGCAGTGACTGTGGTGAAAACATCTCCACAGAGTTAGGCCTCAATCTTTTTTTTTTTTTTTTTCATTTGGGGTTTTTGAGTTGTTGGGGTTTTTTTTCACTGGGGGATGTGTGTGTGTGACTTTTTAGAGAGAAGGTTTTCACTCTCCAGAACATCTATTTGTGAAAAATGTTGTGGTTTAAGGGGGCGTAAGAGGAACTGTGTACATACATCATACTTCCCCTTTTCTCTCCTTGGGCTACTAAGCATTGCCCTATTTTTTTCCACTAGAAGTGGAAGTGGTTAGCCCCTTTTTTATCACTTCAGGAAAACAGATTAAGCCCAAGGATTTTTAGCAGAGGCCAATATATTTGAGATTGTTCTGAATGATGACATCTGTCACTGCATCAAAGACAAATTGGATGTTACTGGTATCAGTGGCGCAGGTGAAGTGTGAGTAGATCTCCTTGGTCTCCTTGTTGCGATTCAAGTCCTCAAACTGGCGTTGAATGTAGACTGCTGCCTCCTCGTAAGTGTTTTGGCCTTTGTACTCAGGAAAGCAGACTGTTAAGGGAATGCGTCGGATTTTTTCTGCCAGCAGATCTTTCTTATTCAAAAAAAGGATGAGGGAAGTGTTGATAAACCAATTGTTGTTGCAGATGGAATCAAAGAGACGCAAACTTTCTGCCATTCGACTCTATAGGACAGGAAACAACAGAGTCAGCAATAGTGTTTCAGCATAACTGTGGAAAGCACACAAAATACATTATTATGTCTATCAGTGAGCAAAATCTGCTTTTAGAAACAACTTTTGGGGTTTTTTTAGTGACTGTCCATCTCAACTGTCTATGAAACTTCAAGGATCTTAACTGAGGATTTAGAAACAGTAGGTGTAACTTGGGAAAATATGGTTGCGTTCAAACTTAGGTTAGCACTAGAAACAAATTCTTTAAATAAAAGAGATGAGTAATTTCTAAGGATCTCACACTACAGAAACATTCTGCTGTTAAAGGTTTTTTTTAAAGACAGAACTAATAGAGCACAATTGTAACATTGCATCACTAGATGTGCAGTTTAGCGAACCACACACACTCAGATTTTTACACACACAGAGACACACGACAGCTGGAACTGTCCATGGTACCAGCTGCTGTCGGAAGGCTGAGTTTATTGGTTGGTTTCATCTCATAAATAAGTATAAACAAATGTAATGTTTTGAATAGAAAATATTCTAGATTATTAAAATAAGTATCACTCAAGTATCGTCAAAAGCAGATACAGAAAATCAGGCATTTTTGCTAAGGTCAGTGTTTTCCAGCGTGTTACAACTTCAATCTTGATTTGTCATATCAGCATTATCATTACCTGACTAACTTTAGTCAGCTCCGTGTCTAACATGAAAAATCTTTTAAGTATGCACTCATATTTTCTATTGAACAGAAAACATCTCTTTAACCAAGTAGTCCTAGTCGTATTTAGAGAATGTAGATAAGCATGGCATTTTACAATTAAGCAACAAAGTTTCATTCCAGTCATTTTCAATACCCAGCAATAATTTTTATTAATAAAACCATAATTCCTGTTGTAGTTCAGTTGTGTTCATCTAGTGCTAAAAGTAGGTAAAGGATATATAACTGAAAATTCTGTCAGTTTTTTTCTGTACAGCAAATGTGTTAGGAAAAAAACCATAGAAACAAATATTCATAAAACAAGGTGTATCTTAAAAAAAGGAAATGAAATAGATTCTGAAGATTTCATGGGCTCTGAGACAGAGGTAACATAGGCTGAAAATTGGAATTCTTGCAGTGATCTCTGTTTAATTTCTTTATTTCATCTCTAGAAGAGTCTTTTAGCTGTGTGCCAGTTCATCTTTTATTGAAAATCAACGTCAACTAATTTTTCAACCTGATGATAATGCTGTTTGCTATTTTGACATCTTTGGGCCAGTTTCATATCAGATTACAGAGCCTGAGTTATGCTCTTTCATCTAATCCTCTTCAAACACACTAAACAATTTTTCAATTTTCAAGCATCTTTAAAATTGCAGAAAACTGTAAGGCATATCTCCTTCTTGTAGACCTGATCCAATGCATAGCTCTCAAAATAATTTCAAGTAAGTAAACCAATGTGATGTTAATCACAGCATGAAATTCACTATTCCTGCTTACATGTCCAGGTGAATTGATTTTCTATGGGAAACATTTCTGTAAAGCTTTTAGCTTTCACTCAAATGACAGGCCTACAGTTAATATCTAACCTACAGCTAAAATATTAGCTGTTGTTCTTTCTCACTTAGTATTTTTTTTGTTTAGGCTTTATACAGCTGAAAACATTGTTGTGAGGAGTCATGGTTTATTCCTGTTTTATCTCGAACAGTCTTTCCCTCTGTTTTGAGGTAACACCAAGATATATAATTGCACCCTGGTTACACAATGCAAAGAATCCTTGTACAGTCAGCTCTGTAAAGTCTGCTTGCTGATAAACCATGGATAAAATACAAATAAAGCTTTTCATATACAGAAATAGTAATCTTAACTTCCTTAAAAACAATAAACAAGCTAAATATCAATGGACATTTTTTCCATGTTAAGTTTCTGTAAATAGATGTAAATAGTCAGATGTTCAATCTTTAAACTGATCTCTACAAAAGCTGTACAAAACCTGCTTGAATTGCTGTTTCATGTATTTGTAGAGTCTGGTTTTTTTTAACTCAATATATCTTACATCATTTTTTCCCCTTCAGACAAAATGAATTTGCAATACTGTCCTGCTAAATTAAGAAACTAGATCCTATTCTGAGTATCTCTTATTTTCAGTATTCTAGGATCATGAGATTGCATAAAATTTAATATAATTTCTTCAGCTTTGTCCATATAGCAAATTTAATTAAGATTAGGCATTATTGATCAGCATAGGGCATAATGGAAGGCAGGGGTATTGTGAATGATGGGCATCATTAATGAGATATCAGGATACAGTTCCAAATTCTCCCAGTCTCTTTTCTTTGGTCTCACTTTGTATCACAGCCACATAGTGGATAGTTTCATAATATGTACAGGTCATTAATTTAGTGACTTCAGAGGACTTATCAGAGGAAGAGCAACTTTCTGTTTGTAAACTTTTTGTGTAGTGGCATGCTTTGCCACCTGAAAGTAAGAGGAGCTGGTTTGATAATTTTTTATTTAAATAAGAGAAAAATAATACTGAAAATGTCTGGT